CAAATGGACACTTACTTAAAATGCGTCTGGAAAATGAGCTTCTATCTATATGATGCGGGCAACTCTATTTATGTAATGCTTCATATAGGAGGTTTTAACATATACTTGCTGCCATGTAAGGAAAATCGTGAATGTATTACTTGGCTGAGGTACAGTAACATACTTGTTAGTTGGACAAGGTGCAGGAGCTTGTACTAGGAAATAGTAGCTATCTTCTGTAAATGTATCCCCTGAAATTTGAGGCAAAATTATATTATTTTTCTTTGTAAAATTAGATGGTTAGATTATATTACCACACTTCAGATATTTTTACTTTCTTGTTTTAAAGTAAATTTTGGAGTTTAGGGAATGAATTTTGTGACTTCTGTTCTGTAAATTAATTGTCTTAAAGCCTAAATGCGAAAAACAATAAATGGAATTGTGTAATTTAGCTTGATTTTTTTTTTTCTTGTTCATGATTGAGACAATTAGAATAAATTAGAATCGACATAATGCCGTCAAACAAGGTACAATCATTTCGGTGGACTCGAATTAATGTCTGATCCTATTTTTAATCATGTTGATTGTATGTTTTTGTTTTGAGCTCGTTGATCATTTTGTTCATGATTCAAATTTTGTTTCTGTTTTGATAATTTGAAAAAGTAAGTATTTCAAATTGTTCGAAGAAGAAATTTTCATTCTAGAAATAATATCTATAATCTGGTAAATGGATGAATCTTGATTGAAAATGATAGTGGTTTAGCTTCGTAAATATAAAAATTAATAATATTATTAAATAGACTATATGAATGTAAATTAGGGAGACATTTTATACTTTCTAGTCATATAAATTATTATTTTTCTTTTTGAAGATTTTATAATGTGCACTAAAATATAAAGCAGAGGGTTGCCTAAACCATTTTTGAATTTGGAGATTCTTGACAAGTAAACCGTAAATATACAATAATTTCATTGCGCTTATTTGATAAAATTTTGTTTACTTCTAAACTAATCAAATTTTAATTTTAATTATACATTTATATACTCACAATTTTTATCAAGTGCACATTTTATTAATTTTAATCAAAAAGTGACAAAACGGCAAATAGCTCCTTAATCTTATTTTTGCCCTACTTGCAAAATTTAATGCATTAGACTTGATATGATTAAAACAATTTCATGCAACTCTCTAATTTCTATTTTTGACATTATTGGTAGTGGATAAAAACACATTTTTTATTGGTGAAAAATATAATTATATGGGACGCTAAACTTGTTTGGGAAAATAGATTAGTTACACATCGAACAATATTATTAACAAGGAAACAATTTAAAACTGATACTAACATTAACTGTAATCCAATATTTTTTTAAAAAAGAAAAAATACAGCGATGTGCGGACACCAGACGGACACCAGGCATCTGCTGTCCGCGGTGTGCGGACAACAAGCGTTGGTGTCCGCACACGAGGAATCTGATGTCCGCACAGCGTGAACACCACACTTTTCATTGTGCGGAGGAATTTTTTTTTCTTCACACTTCGTAAAGTGCGGATTTTTTTTTTCAAACACTCCGACCAGTGAGGAGTTAACACTCCGCGTTGTGTGAGGTTTTTTATTACTATTTTTTTCTTACACTCCGCATTGTGCAGAGTTTTTATTTTATTTTAAATTCCACATAGTGCGGAGTGTCCGGAGTATTGTCTACACCCTTTTTCCTCTTTAGGAGCAATAAAGTCAACATTTGTGAGCATAGTAGGAAGAAGTCCAAATAACCCTTAATCCTTATATGAATAGTAGATTATGGAGAGGGATGAATTGAAATTAAAAAAAAGTTTCAGAAATGAACATTAATTGGCTTATTCACTCCTTTAAGATATGATATAGTTGGGATACATCACATTTCAACTATATTAAATGTAATTATTCTTTATTCATTATCATACTTGTATCATTAACCTTTTTCTTTACCATATTCTTATTTTTAACATTTCATTAATCGGAAAATTTTGTTGACCTATGATTTAATATATCTCCACTTGTTTTGATTATAACAAACAATACACTTTTGTTTCTAACAAGTTTTTGTTTCTTGAGTTTTTCATGAATATATTTTCTTAAGCATTCAAAGACTCAAATCGTCATCCGTTGAGGAACAAGCATTCAAGGAGACTCGAAGAGATCAAGAACGTTGAAGATAGAGTTATTTATCGAACCTTATTTATATATGTAAAGGTATAACTCGTCAATATTTAGCAAGTGCATGAAGCTCAAGTATTTCCCACAAATTCATCACTTGCATAAATTATTTTAACATGAAAATGATTTTGAAAAATGAACATTTGTAATAGATCAAAAACTTTGAAAAATCATTTTCAAACGTTCCTTAAAAGATCACATTTCAACTTTCAATCAAAAAGTTAAACTCCGATTTTCAATCTCATATTGGGACATATTTTTAACATGAAAGATGATCTAATTTGAAGATGATTTCTGAAGTAAAGTTGTAGCCCCTTGAGTTAGCTTTCCAACCAATTTTGAATCACCTTAATCGGATATCGGAAGAAAAAGATATGATCAAAATAGTGAAAACTGTTTTGGCCTGTCTTCACCCGAAATTTGGTGAGTTTGGTCAACCGAAAATTGATTAATGATCAACAGAAAATTGGTAAAAATGGTCAACCGAAAATTATTTCGATCAATCGAAAATGTTGAATATTCAAAATTCTAAAGGCTTTATCTTTCAACGGATTTATTGTTATTTCGGTCAACCGAATTCCTCATCCCAAAGTGCCTGTAGCTTGCCATTTTTCTCTATAAATACATAGCTCTTTTACACTCAATTCTTACCAACTTACAAGAGAATTTTAAAGAGCTTATTCATTCAAAATCATTGAGTTTACTTAAGTGTTTATCCAATTTATTTATTACAAAGAATCTTTTGATTGTTTTAAGAAGTTGTTCTTCATCAAAGATTCCACTTGAGCAAAGAAGCTTACATCTCATCTATTTTCTCATTCTTGACTAAAGCTTTTTCTTTGCCAACACTTATTTAAGTGCAAATCTCTCTCTATACTTAACTTTGTATTATTTGTGAAGAGAGATTCATTGGTTG